ATCTTCTTCTGACCATGATGATAACTGACTTATGAGCTGATTTAGGCTCCCAAGAGTCGTTCTTCTACTATAATGTTCTGATATCGATCCAGCATTAGAGACCAGCCGCTCAAACTCAGGCTGTACTGGTTCACATACAACAGGCACCTACCAGAGGGACCTAGCAGAGAGATCAGCCATATCCCACCCAAACTTCAGCTCCTCCATGCCTTCTGTGCTGGATGGAGTAACCAAACTGGCATGGCGCTATATCGTGTTTCCCTACACTCTGGGTGAACAGGCAAACGTAAAAACTAAATGCTGTGATTCCCATTTTCTATAATGTAATCAGGGCAACTGTCTGCACTCTCATTGCTCTAAGGGCAACTAGTGCTAAATTAAAAGCCATTTAATTCTGTTAATGCACAAGTAGCCTGTGATGCTGACATGACATTGACCAATACAGTAGCTCAATGGCCTGAGTCTCCTCATGATCCATTCATTTTGAGTCTTACGTACCACATCAGTATCTCCCGACTGCCTGAACAAAAAACCTGCATAATAGGGAATCCCCCAGGTTAGATGCCATCAGCATGATGAAGTTTGAGGGTGAAGATGTGGGTTTGTCTCATAACTTAGTCATAGTGGCTCTGTGCTCAGCCAGTCTTTTCTTTACCTATATTGTCAGGTCCGACCTCTTTTATTTTCGGGGAGTTTTGTAGAGCTGATGGACTTTACTGCAGTGGCGACGTCTTTCCAATCAACACACGTTTTCCTGTGTGATCCCTGTACTCAGGCCCCCGAATATAACACTGTGTCCTGCCTTCACCTCTGACAGGAGGACCTCTAACTCTCACTGTACAAAATTTCTCTTTTTTACTGTTTCCATCATTGGAATTTGCTAAAATTGTTTGATTTGCGTATTACCTGAGCATGCAGTTCATTCATATTGACTGTTCATGGTTATTTGTGGGAGGCTACTGGGCAGGATCTCAAGCTCAAAGACGTACGCACATTTATAAGAGTTCTGATTTACCCAAGGGGAGACTGCGTATATATTTTCGTACATCAGGTTTGGTAATAAATCTGGAATTTCTTCCTCATGCCATTTTCTGTTCTGTTTCTTTTTTTTTTTTGTATGTGGCATAATGACGACGATGACTGTGTGTTTTTTATTTGGTAATGGATCAGCTGATTTTGTTTCTCTTTTCCCTCCAGAATCAGACAGTCTTGTTTGTAAGCCGTATGAAGACAAAGACAAAGAAGTTCCTGATGAAAACTCTCCAGGTGAGTTTATACTCTGCCTGATAAACATGCTTCTGCCCCAGAGTGAATCCTACATTCTCTGATCCTTCAGTTACGGGTGATGCCAGTTGTTTAATGACCTATGAGGGATCAGAGGGGACACAGGGCTGTGTAGAGCAAGCGGCTGTTTACAGGCTGAGGGTGAAGATGTCAGAGGGTCATGCTGGCTGTGCAGAGCCGCCCAGTACCTGCAGTTTACAGCAGATACAGTCACCACACTGTGGGCCTCCTGTGATATTAGCCATTATAGAGAATGTTTAATACTGTGTTTGACTGGGTGTTCAGGGGACAGCGGGTGGGGTGTTAAGGGTGTGGTTCGGAGTGACATGGGGTCCTGCTGTTGTACCATTGAGGGAGGTCCTTAACAGTCAGGGGTCAGATGGGAAGCTGCTCTGGGTTGGGCTGTTGGCTCAGTGATGTGACTCTGCTGGATGTTTCAAAACGTTTTTAATTGAAGATTTGATGTCTGTATGAAAATGTAATTTTTATTCATTCTACAGGGGCCCCTTCAAGTGTATGGCTGATAGTGATCCTGTCTGTGATTGTGGGGATTGTGGGGATTGCGGTGATTGTGGTGATTTTGGTGATTGTGGTGATTGTGGGGATTGTGAGCTTCATCAAAAGGAGGAGGAACCAGCCAGGGACTCAAATGCAGACTGACCATACGCCGACTCCTGAAGCTGTCCCACTTAATGAAATTGTACCGAACTCCCCACAGATACATTTGGATAACCTTGCGCCCCCCCCCACTCCACCCCCAGCAGTGAAACAAAGGTGAAGTAAAGCATGGATGGATTTTTTTTGTAGGGATGAAAAGAAAAACCAATGGCAAGACTAATGTGTTTTGATAAGCTGAAGTGGACAAAGGCTGTTCTGCATTTTTACCTGCACAAAAGAATGTGACTGATCCAAAACATTGTACGGGTAGGAAACTGGTCCTGTGTACATCCTGCCTGTGACTTGAACCCCTGCAGTTCATTCTCTCCCATTAGCGCCAATGTTGGCAACTTCCATGCCAACATTCCAGAGGGCATGTGGGATACACTGATTGTCAACTATAATATCCTGTGTGATTATGCAGTCTGTTAGGATGAGCAGCGGCGAGGCAGCAAGAAGGGTTACAGACCAGGAGAAATTAGGGCCCAAAAATCGTTTTCTTTATTCAGCAAGCCACAGTGCCCGATATTTACAGCGAACACTAATATAATAATATAATTAAGAAAAAAAAAACTTTTCCAAAACAAAACCTATATGCTCCCATTAGGCAAAGTTACGGGAAAAACCAAAATTGGCTACACCACATATATTTGGTCCAACAGCCCACAACATGTATGCTCACACTCTCACAGCCTGCCATGCAATCCCCCTGTCACTCCAAGGAAGTTCGGTGATGAGAGACTCCTTTCGCTGCAGTCCTTTCTTTTCTGCAGCCGTGCAGCCATCATGCCATTCGCTTTGGAAAGAAAAACCCATTGGTGGGATAACCTGGCCATTCAGTGGAGTCAGGTACTCTGGCCAGCAGGGAGCAGGAGCGCGACGGCCAGGCTGAGGCTGCGGAGGCGGCATTACGGAGCCGCGACTAGAGTGGGAGCTGCTGTGCAGGACCAGCCTGCCCCACAGCACCCGGGCCCTCCTAAGCGGGGTAGGAAGAAGGGCTGGGGCCAGGAGGGGCCCTCACCGCTGGAAGGCTCCAGCAGTCCCTTGCGCTGGCTGTCACTGGAGAAGGGTGTGGACCCCCTGGAAGCTGTGCTAGGACCCCTTAAGGTGCAGAAGAAGAAGGGTTGGCACTGGGGGGGGATCTGACATGCCAGCACCGGCCAGCAGTCAGTCACGCCAGCGGTCGGGGAGCGACCTGCCCCGTCATGGGAGGTGA